AATGATCCTTGTGTTAGAATATTCAAATAACTTTCTAAGTAAATAAGAACTTTCGTCTAAATTTGAACGAATAGTTTCACAATATTTGGGCGCCGAGTTAATTTGAGACATTAAAAAGAAGAATATATTTGTAAAATCTCAGCGAATGAATTTTAAGTAAATCCAACGTTTCGCCTGGCAATCTGGTCCAAGCTTTTTCAAGGAAAATATAATCAAACAACAAAATTATCGAATATAAATAGGTACATGGTTCTTCGGTTTACTGTACACTGAATAAGTCATCCAATCGACGTGAAGGATTTCTTTATAGATAGGTATTTGCATTAATACAAATACCCATCTATAAAGAAATCCTTCACGTCGATTGGATGACTTATTCAGTGTACAGTAAACCGAAGAACCATGTACCTATTTATATTCGATAATTTTGTTGTTTGATTATATTTTCCTTGAAAAAGCTTGGACCAGATTGCCAGGCGAAACGTTGGATTTACTTAAAATTCATTCGCTGAGATTTTACAAATATATTCTTCTTTTTAACTTTCTAAGTAATTGAAATTATTCACAAAAGTTTTTTTGTTTTCCGAAAAAACAAAAGAGTTCCATTTTGATCACCAAATTATATTATTTGAAGAAGAGGATATAACATCCACTGAGTATTGATGATGTAAAAACACGTTTGTACAATTTTTTTTCAAAGCACTCTAACAAGTTATATCATCATTAGTAAGGTTTTGAATTATTCAGTTATTGACGAGTATCAAGCATGATGAAGCATGAGTTGTGAACTCTATTGATAGTCAAAATGTTTATAGTATCAGAAGGGGTTTAGTGGATGTTATAGTAATTTCAATAGTTGAGATCATGAGTCAATTGAAGCTAGATCCTGGGTTTGAAACTCGCGAGGCGGGATCATGGATGAGCACTGGTAAGGAGTCCCAAAATAGAACGAAACAGTCGCCAAATGCTTCTAGGTTTTCCAAGATGGTCTAACTTCAATGAACTCATGATCTCAACTAATAAAACTTTTTTTAACCAGTTCACTTTTTTTAAATAACAAAATAATTGTAAGTGCCTACTATAGAGAAACTTGTTGACACTAAATTAGATTCTTAACAAATGTTCTAACAATGAATTATTTGATGACATTTTTTATTTATTACCTACTTTCATATCTTCCAAAACTTAATGGTAGGCTTGTCAAAATGTAATTGAGTGAAGATTCATCCTGTAGTTTTTATTTAAAAAAATCTCTATCTAACTGTCACGAATCAGGAAATTGGCTAATATATCGTTGAAAGTAAATATTTCAAATAATATAATGGTCTTACCAGAAAAAAAATGATGAAAATTCTTATTAATTTAATGGGATAATTTGAAATAGAAGATGTTCATCCCTTTTTGTTGTTGGATTTTTGTCCTCTGAGTTGGATGATTTGATAAGTAGAGCTCAAAATCACTCACTTTGAGCTATAAATCTTCTCTACCTTTTTCAGATTAATTCATTAACAACTCTTATTTCTTAATATGATTTACCTAACTGTAAGTTTTTATGATTAATTTGATGTATGTTTCAAATGTATATAAGTGTTATACCCTATTTAATAAAAACAGATAAAATAAGTTACCTTTTATATATCAGATGATATTTAGTATCTAATATAAATAACCTATTTATCAAGTATAAGTTTATGAATTCCGATTAGAATATCACGTTTAAATGCTAAACCATACCGACTACTTATACAATGTGAATGAGATAAGCATGATTGAAAAAAAATTCAACTTATTGATTACAATCTGAAATATTTTTAATTCATGGAGTTACTGATAAGCAACAATAAATTAGATTGTATTCACTTCGTTTAATAATAATAATAATAATAATCATTCTTAACCTGACTACTTATTAATGATTTATGTTGACAATTTATTGAAACATTTCAATAATGAATGAGAAAATGTTTAAGAACGGAAATTGTTTTTCTAAATTGTTTGTGTTTTAGAATTTTAATGGACAAAAAAAAATTTTTTTTTCCAAATCAACTTGTTATTCGATTTGATAACATTGACATTATAATAATTTTAATCATGATGTTTTAACTTTGGAATATCGTGACTTGTTAGTTATAATTTATAATTCACAGATATTTTTATGTACATTGTAGTTAAGTGTTCAAAATCTATTTGTATATATTTGGTAAGGGATTGGAAGAAAAAAAAGAAAAATTTATGGTTAGATTCTTTAAACAGACTTCAGAAAGTTTGTGTTTCAGTGGAACTGAAGGTAGATGATGTTACAAAAAATCTGATTCTTATCTCTTTTTTTTGTATAGTGTACTATCAAATTTTTAAACATGTTTCATGTGTTTTCGAAAGGTTGTAGTCACTTGTACGTTCTTATGCTTTATACTGTAAATACTTACATTGATTCTTCATTTGATTATATCTCTTTTCAATTATACTATTTCATAGTTCAAGCAAAAATGTTTCTTCAACTGCATGAAATGAACTAATAACATTTTAATCATTATTATCTGTATATTCTTTAATTTAACCTGATGACTAATTTCTTCAAGCTGGAAAATATTTTATTAAGATTTCCTGGATCCTAAGTAGCTATCTTTTTAAATATAATGTTTATTTCTAGGTTCTTCATTCATAATTTACACTTATTATTATTATTATTATCATCATCAAAAAAAGCTTGTAAAAAAAAACATCCCTCTCATTTGTTTTTATGATACATTTAGTTATTTTGCTAAAATCGATTATAACTTTACATTTCAGTATTCTTATCTTTCTCTACTTAAATGACCTTTCAATATTACTAATGATATATTGTACGAATATAGAAACTATAGTCAATATAAAACCCACTAATCAAAATAATCATATGAATCCTTTAGTAAACAAATAATAATAATAGAAATATGTAGACTAATGACGAAATTTGTTAAAAGAATATATATATATATATATATATATATATATATATATAGTAGCTAACATCGTGGATTGATCTTAATTAATCATTGATAAGGAGAAAACATTGTACATCTGTTTCCTTATACTGTGAGGCTCCTTAACAGCTAATGCTGGCTTAGTGATCTAGAGGTTAAGTATTCACATCCAGCAACAAATATCTTGGTTTCAACAACTAGTAGCGCTCTCATGGATACGTACTGTTGAGCTGTTACTTACTAGAATGGAACAATTGCTTAATGCTGCTGTTTTCAATAGATGTTGAACTAAGATCAGTTCATGACATTAACCATGAAATTCAGAAAGTCCAAAAACCTTCTTAAATAATATATATATATATATATATATATATAAATATAGCTGATCAGTTGTTTGGTTAACGTTTCCTAGTGTACATTGAATGCACATATACATATATACACTGGATTCAATCCATATTTTGAAATATTAAATAAATGACTCATTAATCTACTCTCTCTTTTTATTTATCATCTCACTCTCTTCTACTTTAACACTATCCTCCTTTGTTATTATTATTATTATTATTATTACTATGATTCATACATATTTCAGGTGACAAAAATGAATTCGACATCTGTCAACAACAATTATACAATAACAAAATATACACAACAAACAAAATGAATTTTCATTGTAGAATTTAATTTCATTTAACCAAAAAAAATAAATAAATAAACAAATTGTCATCAAATCATTTTTATTCTGATTCTTTTCATTTATTTATTTATTCATAGTTTCTCTCTATTAAAATTTTCTTTTTTAATGATTTCTATGATTATTTATAATAGAAAATAATCTATGAATAGAAGAAGAAGAAGAAGAAGAAAACAAACAACTTGAAAAGGGATGACATTTTGTTTGTTTCTTTACTCTTTCATCAAAAAGAAAAATGATAATGTTTTTTTCTTTTGTTTATTAAAATTATTTTTATTATTTCCTTAAATTATTGATTATACTGTCAAAATTGTTTCCGTCTCCTCACCCACCCCCTCTGTACATTCATTGATGTGTAAATTAATGTTTGTTTTTAAAAAAAAAATTTAATATAAATAATTAATTTTATTTTATTTACAGAAATCTTTTGAAGGTAGTGTTCGTTATTATTAGCTGGAACTAGTTTATAATGTTCAATGAAATAGTAATTATGTTGATATTTAAAGAAAAAGAGAATTAAACCATTAAATTATTACAATTTCCGCAAACCTTCATTCTGACAATAATAATCATATGCTCATTTGTAATTGGTTTCAACAGGTATTTCATAGATTTCTAGCGAGTAGGCATGATCAATGGAGTCAAATCGTGTCTGTTGTGAGGTAGTTATTCAATGAAAACAATGATGGACCATCGTTCAATATTTTAAATTAATTGATGTTAGATAACAGTACTGTGGATGCCAGTTAAGCGTTCGTTTATGAGACTGAAGCCCTTAAGTTTGAGTTTATTTTGGTGAAGGATCGTGAATGTACACTGCTGAAAAGTCCCATACGAGGATGTAACGGCCATCTAGTTCTTCTAGGTTTTCCATGATCGTCTAGATTAAATCGACTCATGAATTCAACCATTAAATTAATTGTAATCATAAAACTATCATGAAGATTAATGTTAAGTAATAATATTTCAATGCCAATGCTTTATATTAACTGAACAGTGTATATATTTTATCACATACTATGAAATTATAATCATTCACGTTGTTGTTTTTAATGATAACGAAACATAAATTCACCTTTAAGTAATAACATCAAATATAGCGAACTATTGAAAATAAAAATTCAGATTAAGTGTTCAATAACGGTTACATTCTAAGTAAAACTGAAATTCTTTAAATTTATGATGGTATTTATTTTGAGTTTTGTTATAATATGATAGGTATTATACAATGGAATGAACAACAAGCAAATATAAATGACTGAAATATGGAAGTCACTAGGAATAAATTTATTTTGGGAATAAACTTAATTCATATACATTTGAATATCACATTACAACCTTCAATATCGTCGTCGTCGTCTTATCATCATCATCATCATCATCATCATCATCATCATCATCATCATCATCATCATCATCATCATCATCATCATCATCATCATCATCATCATCATCATCATCATCATCATCATCATCATCATCATCATCATCATCATCATCATCATCATCATCATCATCATCATCATCATCATCATCATCATCACTAACATATTTACATTCTATTCAGTTGATGTGCTTGATTACAATCAAGTTCTTTTTTAATTTGATAAACTTTTCAAGAATCTAGAAAATTTATTCAAGTAAATTGAGAAACAGAAAAAATTAATAACTAAACACGCAATTACTTAATTTTCTTTTTATATCAAACTTACTTAAATGTAAATCACATGGTTTGTAGTAAAATTCAATTATAAATCAATCTTCAATTATTGTTAATCATTTGTATTATTCGTGGTATTAAAGTTTCCTATAGTTTATCCAGTTAAAAAAATATAAGATTGTAACATAGTATTAAATTTAATATGGAGATTAAAAAAACATTTTTTTTAATGCTTAGTATTTATTTTTCGAACCATTAAAGAAAGAAAAACTTTTCAATAAACTTATGTTTCCTCCCTCCCCCCCCCCGAAAAAATATTTCACTACATCACTTAAGCGTTTGGAATTTAATATATTTATGATTTACAGAATTTCTTATATTAATAAACATCATGTGTGAATTAGTGACTGATTTAGAAATTTGTTTCTCAAAGTTATACTGAGTAGTCATCACCAGTGGGAGTTCTACCATGTCAGGTATATCGAAGACAATAGGTGGTGGGGTAATATTGAGAATGAATCAAAGTTAAGCATGTATACCATTGGATATCACATCAGAGATTTAAATGTTGTGGGCTCACTTCGAAACCTGAATGGTTACTCTCTGACCACTGGTAGAGTCGTGGATACCCATTGCCAAGGAGTCCCATGCTGGTACGAAATAGCTACTCATTACCTCATGGTTTTCAAGGATTGTTTAACTAACTTTGATTCGTTCTTGTATACAGGATATTGTTTTAAAATTTTTAGCTCATGTTTATATATATGCATATATGTTACTAATAGAAATAGTGAAACACTAATTTCTCATAGTATTTACTAGAGATGCGTTTAACATTCACCGCAAATCGATCTAATTTGTCGAGAAATCGAAGCTTGAAGCAACAAACTGTAATAGATCAGGGGAATTCCAGCGTTAAACTTTCTGTTTACTGTTTAGATGAATAATCGCTAATATTACACAGTTTAGTTATTAAAACGGTGTAAGCATTCTTTAGTTTAATTTATATGTATCAATGGTACTTCTCCATGATTTTTTTAAATATCTGACTTTCTGTGGTAGCACCTAACTAGCGATATAGCAAACTTTTATCCCATGAAAAAAGGTACCTTCGAAAACGTTCTTGATTTTAGCTTATTTACTTAAGGAGGCCTTTAAGTGGTCATTTTATTGAACCAACAATTCAGCAATGATCCCATCCAACGTGTTATAAATTTTAGTGATTATTATAACTCGGGTACATTTAGTAACCACTTACTGTGAAAAAGAACAAACCAACTTCCAGTTGAAGAAGAAATTAAGAAAAGACAATGGAGGTGGATAGACATACGTTACGGAAATCAAAAAACTGTATCACGAGGCACGCGATTACTCAGAATCCTGAAGGGAAAAGGAAAATAGGAAGACCAAAGAACGCACTGAACCGGGTATTGGAAGCAGACATCAAAAGAATGAATAGCAACTGGAAACAAGTGAAAAAGATTGCTCAGAACAGTGTTCGATGGAAAATGCTAGTGGGTGGCCTATGCTCCTCCACGAGAGATAACACGAGTAAGTATTATTGAAAGTAATACTAGTTTTCATTCGTACTTTCTTCAGTTTAGGATATTTAGCTGGCCTGTTCGTTTAGGGTAAATAAAATGTTATTTAAACAATGAAATTATTGAAGATACACCATAAACTGCCAGGAAGTTGTAAAAAAATTTTCCTTTAGATAATTTTTAATCATAAATCAACGACAACTTCGGAATCACTCAAAATCTAGATTTGTTAGCTAACTGTATGAACCTATTAAAACATATCACCTATCATCATTTTCACAAAAACTGCCATCTGAAATTGCTAACACTCATTTTTATCCTTATTAAAATTAAAATAAATAAACTTTGTAACTATTCTACTAACGATTTCAGTCTAAGTAGTATATTAAACAAAAACATAATTTGCCAAGCTAACACTATCTATTTATAGATTATTTATACTCTCTATGTACAGATGTTCACTTGTTGACTAAACCTTCATCACATTTATAGCTTGGATGCAAAAAGAGAGAAAAATATCAACGCAACATATCTAAACAATATTGGTTAGTTTACAGGAGAATTGTGATGAACAGATGTAACTACTTCCCACCACCATCATCATCATCATCATCATCATCATCATCATCATCATCATCATCATCATCATCATCATCATCATCATCATCATCATCATCATCACCATCATTATCAAACCTATTTCCTCAAGAAAGGGAATAAGTAAACAAACATATTTTATCCACTAGTTTGTCAATTATGACTTTAATCAATATAAAGCTGATGACGACAATAGTGATGAAGACGATAAACATGTTGATGATGAATAAGCAGGTGGTAACTGTAATTTCATTAATTTTCATAGTGTAAACGATGCAAGATTGTAAACAATTTCGATGTTATTTACGATAAGCTTATTTTTCCTTCCTTTTTTTCTCCTACTGATATATACAATTATATTTAGATATTTCTTTTAATTTCTAACAGTAAATAGATTTAACATCTGGTGAAATGTTCAAGCATAGGCCTACATGTACTGACAATATTATTATTACTACTATTATCATTATTGTTATTACTACTACTACCACTATTATTATTATTATTTGGTACCCAGTACTATCATAATGAATGAACTTTAAACAGACATACATAGGTATATTCATACATAAAGTATAAAGTATGATTCTTTTCTTTTAAGGAAACAGAAAAATGCAGAGTGAACTATCATACACAATTTTTCCAATTAATAATAATAATAATACTAATATGTATATCAAGTAATATATCTATATGTAACTATTATCCACTGAGAGTAATGTTTATACTTAGAAAATGAATGAGATTTTTTTCTTTATACTTTAGTTAATGAAATGAATTATTAATGTAATTTATTGGAAATTAGTCATTGATTATATTTTGTTTTCTTGGTCAATTAATTTTTTTAATCAGTAACTAATAGAGATTATTACTTTATATGATAATTGAATTGATATTGTTAAATTGAATTGTCACTGATTGCAATCATGAGTCAATTGAAGCTAGACCACCATGGAAAACTTGGAAGCACTGAACGGCCGTTCCATCCTAGTATGGGACTCCTCAGCAGTGCGCATCCACGATCCCGCACCCAGCTGAGGAGTCTCATACTAGGACGAAACGGCCGTTCAGTGCTTCCAAGTTTTCCATGTTGGTCTGACTTCAATTGACTCATGATTTCAGTCAGTGAATTTTCTAAAATCTCCACAAAACCACTTCTGATAAAATTGAATTATATCTATAATAAAATTGGTTTATTTGAAAATAGTTTAAATTATAAATTATCATTGGGTAGGTATTGGATAATATTCTGTACTAATGAAATATTAGAGTTAAATTACATAACTTTTAGAATATTGTTGCATGTAAATTAATGTGTTACTATTGAATATTCTTTACTTTTAAGTTTGGTCACTTTGTGACACTATATAACTGTCACTTAGTAATATCAGTTAAATCTATTCCAGAATCAGTTTAGTTGAAATCCATTGATTGGATTATTGCTTTTTAATGTTAAATAGTCCGGAATAAAGATGAAAAGATTATTTTCATTGCTATTTTCACTTTAAATTGGAAGTAATCGTCAAAAAAACTGTACAGGACAAAACTAGAATCTTCGTAATTATACTATTTGGTTCACAGAGTGGAAAACTATGAAAAATGGACATTGATTTTTGAGCATTATATAAACTAATAAACCGCTTCTATATAATAAAAAGTTTCTAACATGTTTTCCATGGTAGTATAGCTTCAACTGACTCATGAACTTAACAATTAGAATACAGCGATATCGACAAACTTCCCCCTTTCTGGTTTTAACAGGTATTTCCAGCAGTTCTAGTGAGAAGCACTGACCAGTGGAGTTCAACCACGTCTGTTGTGAGATATTAACTCATTGAAGACAATGATGAATGTGTCGCTCAATTTTGTGGATTAGTTGAAGTTATACATTAACACTGTTGAACACTGGCCGGCTCAGTAGGCTGGATGTTAAGTGTTCATGCATGAGACCGAAGCTCTTGGGTTCCAGTCACTTTAAAGACCGAATGGCCGTTTAGTGTTTCCGGTTTTCCATGGTGTTCTAGCTTCGATTGACTCATGGATCCAACTATTAAAATATTCACTATTATGTTGAATAACGGTCTTATTTTTTGGAAATTTGTTGTTTTAATACAAAATCAAACTGAATAAAATTCCAAACTCCACATAACGACAAGTTAATAGAGAAGTAATAATTTTTTGTAATTTCACTTGGTCTTAACATACGTTCATTAGTGGAAGTTTTATTGAAATTAAGTTAACCAATTATCAACTTTATTTTCTACTTCATCTTATAGCATAGAGGATAGAAAAAAATTATTAACATTATTGTAGTTAACGAAAACAGTTAAATGAAAATGATTTTTATTACAGCTAACAGATATCCATCGAGAATCAAGTTACAATGATTCGTTTTATTTTCATCAATATCTTAATGATTGTATTTCAACGTAACCATTCAGTGATCAAATATTAATGATCAAATCTGAAGGCTTTTAACTGAAAGTTGGAAAAAAAGAACTCCATCGAGACACATTGCTTTTTTTATGCTTAACACTAATAAAATGTGAGTAAGCAAAGATGGATGGTGGCTAGCAGTGAAATCCAGGACGAGTGTTTCACCCCATCTAGGACACGCCAGCTGGATGTACCTGCATCCTAGAGTTAATGTTCACTCTGAGATTTGAACTCACCACCGTTCTGTTCAAATACCATCGCGTTATCTACTAGGCATTTGAGTCCTGATAACCACTAGCTTATGCAATGGGATGAA